TTTTTTTTCAAATGTACTTTTTAGGCATTTATACTCTTGTAAAGTTGCGCAAACTTTTCTCTTTGAAATAACGTAGAAAAGGTAAGAAACTGGGTTGACTTTGCCTTGTTTTTATCAATTTCACAGTTCACAGATGTTACGAAAAAAATCTTCTGTATCATTTTCGTAAGCGCTTGCGGTGTACATCATATAATCATCATCTATCTAAAATACCAAACTAATTTGTTTCTGTATTTGTGCTAACAGTTGAGCAAATTTTTTAATGCATATGCTTATCATCTTTCTGCCTGTGAAAGACAGTACCTCGGGTATCTCTAAATTCAAAAATGACACTTTTAAGTACAATTCTGTAACCTGCTGAAAAGATTAAGCTTTTAAACAGAACTAAAAAAATATCCTTTTTTACAAGCAGTTGGTGATGATTATACTCATTTTTTGGCATCAGAAGGATTACATGGGCATGCAGAGCAATATTGAGATAATGGTCAATCACGCTGTCGTTCTTCAAAGTTACCTAGGTAAAGATTTGCAGCTTATTGAAACGGGAGAAAACATAGAAGTGATGAAAATATTTAGTTTGCGCAGCAAAAAAAAGCAAATAGGTTGATTTAAACTTTCAGTTAATAAATCAGCACTTTAGAGATGTTGGATGACAGACAATAAGGGGAAAATTTAAGAGCAGTGAGAAGTAAGAACCAACGGTGAAGACAACGTTGGCTGCTGTATTCTTGAGCACACCATTTTACTTTTATCAGTGGCGTTATTCTGAAGCAGCATTGTCTATTGTCAATGGTTTGCACTTCAGCTTTTTTTTTAGTTATATACAGACCTTGTTCAACAGCTAAATTTAGCAAATTTTTGAGTCATGCAGTTTCGTCAAAATTCTCGGCTTCAAAAACAGAGCACGTACTTGTTTATCGTTTCATCTTCTTCAAATTTCATTTTTTTTTATCAAACAGTAGTTTATTGTTAGTCTTTCATTCATCAAAAAATCATTTTATTAATTTTTTTTTCTTATCTAACATTAATAACTCAGCTCAGCGCAATTCTTATCGGTTGGCTTCATACAGCAAAAAAGCGTTTAGTTGCAGTTATCTTGTATATTTTTGAAAAATATTTTTAGCTACTTTTTAGCAACAAACTCAAACACTTTCTTTGAGAAACAGCAACAAGTAATTTCTTTTGAAGACAATGTTTGGCTACAAAATTTGCAGAAAAACAAGGTGTTGAGAAAGTATGAACGCATTATTTATAGTTATAAGAAGTCGTTTATCTTTCTGCTCGACTCTATTTTGACTGCTTACCACTCAGTCTAAATGTTGTTGTTAGGAATACATTCTAGAAACTCTAACGACCGAAACTTCTTAAATCAATATGTTCAATGTCGAGTAGCTCTTTCTTTTCAAAACCTGTGGCCCTAAATTATTCGTATTTTGAAATCTACCATCTGTCGGTTGCCGTATAAAAATTTTGCTTTTTCTAAGCATTTTACTAGTATTAGTGCCTTTTGATTTGGCTTCTAAAATACTGATTGTTAAAAGGAACTCTTTGTCATACATTTGTTTTTTCAATGGAAGCTATAAGTCGAGTCTCCAGAGCGAAAAAGGAGTACAGAAGAACTAAAGAATGTTCTTGATCTGATCGAAAAACAACTGATAATGTACTTCTCATGCAATCATCAAATTAAGAGCCAAATGGTTACTAGAATTAAAAAATGAACTAAAGATGATTGCGAAGAGTGCAACACGAAGCGATTTTCGTATACTTATTATGACGTTAAAATCTAATGACACGTTACTCATACCAGTTATCAACAACTGAAACAATTGGAGTCGACATCAGAAATCATGATAGAAAAATTTGATCATTAGTCAGCCGGGTGTAACAGAGTGATAAATTCCAGTGTACTTTATAAGCACAAAGAGTTTTTCTTGCAGAGGTCGTAAAAGTAACTGAATAAAAATTTAAAGCGCCTAACTTCTAAAGGTATCCAAGTCATTTGGAAAGTGCAAACAAGTTTTAAAGCTTTAGTTGATAATGAATTCACTGTTATAAGGTGTATGCACAATACCTGAATTTTTTTTTTGCAACAAGTTTTTTAAAAACGATCTTGCTGCTAGTGTCTAGCAGATTTAGCAAAACAAATTATTCAACTAATCTTTAGTGAAACAATTTTAGCTGCACTAGTTGAAATACTGAACCGTTATAAAAAATCTCTTTCGAAGCTTTACAAAAGTCAGAAATTATATAGTTAAAAGCCATATTGAAAATAACATAAATTGTCTTATTTGAAAAAATGGCAGATTAAAAAAAATAAGTAACTAAATTTCTGCCTATTTTTTGAATAGTTAAATTAAAAAAAGCCAAAAAATGTAATGCAAACAATTTACTGCTTTCTGGACAGAATAACATTTTTTTTAAAAATGCTTAAAAAAGAAAAAAAAAAGAAATTGCAAAAAATTGTACAATTTTTTCAAAGGCTTAGTAGAATATTAATCTTTAATTTTTAGATTACAAATCTTAAAGTCTTGTATTATTTCTAGGCACTGTTTGCATAGAAAGTTTATTGAGCAGTCAATTTTCACAACCAAAAAGAAAATTGCCAGTTTAAAGATAAGCATGGCAATGAAGATTAATAGACCTTTAGAATTATTCTTCCCAACTGTTATAGCATTTAAGCAGTAAATTAAAGGTTCAATAAAATACCGATGAGTAATGATAAATTTCTTGATATGTTACGCAACACTGTTTGTTATCTAAAACTTTTTTTTTTCAAAAGTGGTACTGCTTTTTCAAAGTTTTACAAAATTTGGTTAAACTTAACTTTTATTTCCAAATATTTGTCGATTTTTGT